AAATTTCCTTGAAAAGAATCTCTTCCTAAAACCAGATCTTATGCAAGTGAATGCTTCTGTTTCAAAGTACACTTTGAATCTAATATTTTACAAAAATATCTTTTTGTAAAGGAAGGCAAAATCTGCCAAAAATGACAGATATGTAGAAATAAATTGTTAATGTTTTATAGTTAACTCCAGCATGGGAAAATGATATAAGAATATGAACCAGGGCCGGCCAAGTGGCGCGTTGGTTAAGAGCTGGCTTGGGACGCCAGAGGGTTTGGATCCCACATATGAGGGCCAGTGACACTGCCCTCTGCAGCTAAGATGGTGAATGGCAGCTCAGCCTGGAGCTGGGCTGCCATGAGTTGATGGCGTAGACTGCAGCCTTTGTTGCAGTGGGTTGCCATGGGCTACCGTGTGTAGCCAGCAGCCAGCGTGAGCGGCCAGCAGCCGCCATGAGCGGCCGTCCAGAAGCCGGCGACGGATCTGCCTCGCCCAGGAAGAGTGCAATGATGGTGCCAACTTGGGCCAGTAAAGCAACGTCCTCCACAACTAGACTGAAGAACAAAATGACAGCAACTTGTCTGTTCCTCTTCTCCCAATTCCCCAATAAAAAATCTTAAAAAAAAAAAAAGAATATGAACCAACAATAACACAGATTACAAAATAAATCTCTAAAAAATAACGAGTTAAAATCACATGTTCTTACTCTATAGGGGAAAAAAGTAAAGCTACAGAAGTGAAGGGGTGGGAGACATTTGTTAAGTGCTCTCATGCCAGGAAATGCATATTTTGTATACATTATTTCATGTAAGCCTCACAAAAACCGTGTTAGGCCTTATTAACATTTTATAGTAAGTGTTGGAGTTGGGGTTCAGACTCCAAAACCCAAGCTGCAGTTGCGACTTAGTTCTTATATATCCTACTATGAAGGCCAGACAGGGGAGAAGGTCTCAGGGCAGTTCTACTTTACTTAATTCTTTTGATTTGTCATGGGTACTAAAATTGATATCATTGTTTATACTGAGTTCCCAAAGCTGCTTCCACCAGTAACTGCAACGGTCACCTGGTGTCTCTCCCAATCACTATGAAGGCATCTTGCTGCAGATCCACTGCTGCTTTCTCGCTGATGTCCATCAACACTCTCTCCATATCTTGATCTTCAGCATTTGCCAAACAGGTAGCATGTTCCTCCCAGGAAGGTGCCAACATTTCACCCAAAGGATCAACCAATTTGACACCATTGTCTTCCTTGAAAGGAAAACAAATGGTAAGTAAACTCAAGCTGTTTTCCCTCCAAAAAAAGACTGTGATGGCTACGCAGCTTCACCAGTGACCTCTACTGAATGCCAGGCACTAAATCCTCATGACCCATGTATCAATCTAATATCCTATTATTATTATTCCAATCTGAGAAAACGGAGATTCGGAACAATTTGCTTATGTTCATACAGCTAAGAAGTATCAGTACGGTTATTAAAACATTAAGTCTATATGACTCTTAAACCCAACAGCCATTATGCTAACCAGCTTTTTTAGAAGGCCATCCCCTGTGCATTAACCTTCAGTTAACTGACTAGGGCACAGCTGGAGCAGCATGAGGGCACCTAGAGATTCCTCTTGCTATGACTCTGTAATCTAAGCTTGTCATAGCCAGTGTGCGTCACCCAGTGGGAGACACAGGAGCTGAAAACTGACTCCTCATTCTGTTCTGCTCGAATTTCTGGGGGGAAAAAAAAGTGTAAGAGTGAATGTCAACTGAAGGAAACTGCTCAGAATTATTTTAAGAATTGCTTCTGGAGCTTGCAATAAATATGGGGCTCAGTCTACAAGTCATTAATCAATTACAGTGAATTAGACATTTAGTGAGTATTCATAGTGACATATATTTAGAAGCTGGACAAGCAACATCCTCTTGTTTGAGGGGAAGAGGTTACAATCCTTCACTGACTTACACAGTTTTAACTTGCTGCTGATTTAGCTGCAACAGCAAAAATCACATGCTCTAGCAACAAAACAGAAGCATATTATTCAAACCATGTATTATAAGCTATAGGCAGAACAGAATAAAACAGTTTGTGTCAAATGGAACACTTTGATAAAAACTTGTCAACAAACACTAGAACGAACCATAGGCCTCCCACCAATATTCTGCCCAAAGCTCACTTTTTGATCCCTGGGACCACCTATGTGGCTGTTTATTCAGAACAGGAAAATATTCCCTAGCTATAGAAAAACTCGTCTAAAAATTTTTAAAATGTGCTAAGTCTTCCCAAGTGTTTGTGCTTCCCTCCACCTTGCCGCCAATCTCTTTAATCTCTGCTAAATAAATAGAGGTAAGACTTTTTATTACTGATACTGTGACAATACAACTAACTAGGAAAGGCATTCTGTTCTCTAATATGGCCACTCTCCAAAAAATTAGTCTCATTTCATTCTCTCCACACCTTCTAAAGCAGCAGTTCTCAAACCTGTGGGTCGCAACCCCTTTGGGGGTCGAATGACCCTTTCACAGGGGTCGCCGGGTACTCATATGTGGGCGTATCTGCATGTGGGCCTAGAGAAGGATAGAGGAGCAGTGTCTCGGTTCCTAAGACCATCGAAAATATGTGTTTTCCAATGGTCTTAGGCGACCCCTGTGAAAGGTTGAGAACTGCTGCTCTAAAGAGTAGTCATGAGCTCAATGACCGCTCATTAAGAAAAAACTTGTTTCAAATCCAAAGGCACATAACGAGAAGGCATTTAGAATTAGTTTGTACTTTGGGTCAAACTGCTTAGACACTAAGGTTTGGTCTTGTAAGTAAAGGTTTGCTTTATCAGAGCACTAAATGCATTACCTCAGGATTGTGTGATGCTGTTACCATGACTCCTATTGTAGATTTTGTCTGTTTTGACCTCAGGACAGCTAATAATCCCATGCGAAACATGACATGATCAAGATGTTCTGCTTTCGTTCGAAATCCAGCCGTCCCATATTGAAGAATGAGTCCATTGGGCTTGGCATGTAATGCTGAGTGTTTCGTAATAGCTTCTAAATCCATGTCTACAAAATGAAGGACTATTTTTCAGGCATAATAACAAATCTTTCAAGGACCATTTGCTTCAAAAACTGCCACCCCAAACTAACAGGCATGCCTCATTATGAACACCTCCCCACCCCCTCACCCTAAAAAAAAGAAAGACGAGAAAAAGAACTGTGTGTGAGAGAGAAAATAATGGTAAGTCCTGGGAGTTAGGATTACCTAGAAGATTTTGCCCAATTTATACTGTCCACTCCAGCACAGATTCAGGGCAGAGATCAGACTGTCTCCAACTCATGACCCATTTTGACTCCAGGACATACTTAAAATGGTCCATTCTCAACTAAAACGAAGATTTCACACCTAGATTCAAAGACTCTTTCAAGATCAAAGTTCGCCACATTTTACAAATAAGACAACTTAAGCCTGGGCCTCAGTTAAATAACCTAAGTTTAATGGGTTGCTGGTGACAAACTGAGACCTGAGGTCCTGTTCTTCAACAGACTAAGCCTATATTTCCAAAATACCTGAGAAATCTGTGTAGTTCTTTTGTAATTCTTCCCAGGCTACAAAGACATATTCCCAGAGGAAAAGCAAAGGGCAACAGCTTCCTCTCTCCAAGACTGCCCAAACCTCCTAATACATCTTGTGGTTGGTTTTTCTGTTTTCATAAGGGAGGATCAGGACATTCTTCTAAATTAAGCTCTGAAATTCACAACATCTTTTTACCTTTAATTAAAAAAAAAATCAAACATCGACCATTAGTCCACTTTTCTTCGTTCATTTAGCTAACTCATTCTCTGGGGTACTCCAATTTTAAATGGAACTTGGGGTTTCCAACCTCAGCTGTATGTAACATATTCACTTCCTGGCTCGGTCCCATTTCCAGTCAGCCAGGAGATTAGCAGCAGTCCCACAGCTACCAGCATGACTACAAGCATACCTGGAAGATACTGCAGCTTGGTTCCAGGCCACTGCAATAACGAGTCTAGCAACAAAGCCAGTATTGCACTAAAGCCAATCAATCTTTTTGCTGGTGGAGGGTATGTATGGCTTTCAATTTGTAAAATTCGCAACATCTGTGGAGCACAATGAAGCTAAGCGCTATAAAATAAGGTATGTCTGTATCTTGTTTTCTTTACTGTTCTTCATTGCATCAATGAACAAAATAGTGAAAAATAGTTTAATAGTGAAATAGTTAAATAGTGAAAAACGTTTGCTTTTGTCCAGTTGGAAAAAGCTGGCATTCGGCAAGCTGGCTCAGTTGGGTCCAAAGTGATCAAATCTCTTTCACAAGCATGAATACATTTTGTTAAAAACAGACCAGTCAGTAATGTGTCATGATTATTCATAGGGCGTAAACCAGTCCTGTTAAATCCAGAAAGTCTTTTTTAAAGATGTTGATAAAATGTGTCCACTCTTTAATGCGTCTTAGGTCCTAAAACTACTTTCAGCGGGTATGTGAACGCTTCTATTAAAAGTATTTATTTCCAAGTCCACACGGCCTCCACTCTGAAAAAGTTAAATGTCCCCTTCCCCTTCATTCCATCTTCAACACTTCCTCAGCCCCTCTCTCCTCCCAGCCCCGCGAATCCGCACGTTTCCCGGCCCCGAGGCCTGGAAGCCCCTAAGTCCCCGCCCAGGCCAGTGAACGAGACTGCCCAGCACGACACCCTCGGGCCAGCTCAACAGCCTACTCCCGAGGGGCAGTGGCGGGTGGGTGTGTCTCGCGCGCGGTCCGTGGATTAGTCCGCTAGCTTGCCTACTACCCCGCGTCGGCTGAACCCCTGTGGACCGGAACGTCCTCTTTTCGCCACCAAGCCTCGGGGCCCAGCTCACCTCTGCCAGGAGACCCCCCCTCACCTCCAAAGCGCGGAGCGGCTGCCTCGCGGCGACGCCTGAAACCAGACAGGCGCTCGCGGTGCCCGCAGACGTGGCTCTGCGTGGCTTCCGGCCCTCCGCCACGCCCTTCAGCCAATCACGGCGGGGGAGGGTCCTCTGGCCCCGCCCCGCCCCCTCGCGAGTCGCGCGCAGCTTGCGCCTGCGGAACTGCGGATCGGGTTCCGAGCGGGCTTGGGGCTGTTTCCATTGAATGACCAGGAAGGGTGAGGCCCCCGCTGTGGCCCGAAGGTAGGGGCCGAGGGTCGCGGACTTTCCGAGCACTACGACCGGCAAATATGCAGCCCCACCTCCAAATTTGCGTCTCGGGTTGGCAGATCCTGCGTTCCTGGGAAGCCGGGGATTCTAGTGGTCCTGGATGGGGGGTACCAGCCCGGATCTGGGGTCTCTGACGAGGTGGCCTCGGCCACAGTGAGCGCCACCCAGCCTCCCCTTTCATTTCTCGAGGTTCATCTCCCAAACCTTAGACTCCGTGAAGCCTTCTCGTGTCGCCACCCCTTCCCCATCTCCTCGCCCCAGCTCATACTAAACGTTATTTTATTTATGTTTCTGTGAGACCCCTCCCTCTAAACCTGGGCCCCTCGGGGCAGAGGCAAATGGATCCAAATCGTCCGGAGGTCCCTTGATGCCTCCCCGGGCCAGTGTGGCTCCCTGGAGAGGCGGAAAGGCCCACCCCGGAGGGGTCCTTGCGCTAGGGCCGAGGGGCGACAACTGGCGTCGGGGGCGGCGGGGCCCTCGAGACCCCAGAGCCAGGGGACCCAGAGCTCCGCCCCACCGGCACTGCGGGCTTTCCTCGCCGCAGCGTCCAGCTCCGTCCAAGCCTGAGACCTGGGAGGATTCAGAAGCTGGGCCCCTTGCCTTTCTCAGAATTCAGGCTTGCAGAATATCGGCAGGCGTCTGCCAGCCACCTGCAACGGAATAATTCCTAACACTTGTTGAAAGTCCAGATTCCCGCATCTAGAGCAGAAGCGAGAATGGCGGGGGTGGGGGGAAGGAACGGGGAAGCTGAATTTTAATGAAATATCTTGGGGAATGTTGTGCATACTAGATATTGGGGTCCGGAGATAAAGCAGGAGAGTGTAAGTTTTCCTGTTTATGCCCCTAGTTCTCAGTGCCTAGCGTTCCTGCAAAACTGCGGAGAAATTTCGCTTGAAACCACCAACTGACAAACCCAGTGTCCCTGAGCCTTTCCAGTTTTTCTGGCAGGTTGATTTTGAGGCGACATGTCCTCCGCTTCTATGAAAGAATGCCTGCAGCTTCAGCTACTGGAAATGGAAATGCTGTTTTCTATGTTTCCTAACCACGGAGAAGTAAAACTTGAGGATGTAAATGCCCTATCGACTATAAAGAGGTATTTAGAAGGCACAAGGGAGGCACTGCCACCAAAAATTGAATTTGAGATTACACTCCAGATTGAGGAGCCTAAGGTAAGTGTCCTGAGTTGTTTTAATTGTTACCAGGTACCCAGTTTTTATTGGAAACACTTGGAACATGATCTTTCGGTCCAGGAAAGAAATAGAGAATATTCCAGATGCATATTTCCTTTACTTGTTTGAAAGCAAAATATGTAAAATATTGGATGCCCTGTAAATTGTCTTCAATAAACATCCTGAATTTTACATAAATATGCACACCCTTTTAACAAATATGCCTCATGTTTTTATTAAAAACATCTTGCAATCTTATACTACCATTATTATTTTTTTTCACTCAACCAGTGTTTTACCAACCCAACTATTATAGTATGGACTAACACACACATACACCCCACCCCGGTATAGATCTCATGATTTTCGCAAATCTAATTATTGCCTTTGGCAAACCTGGCTTTTCAGAAGTGAATGAATGTTTCTTTGGTGGCCCCCATAACACTGTAAGCGAATACAGATAGAAATTCGAAATACTAAAAATGAGTTTACCTTCATCTTCTGATTCATTTATCTCCAGCAACATTAGCAGAACATAAGTAACAAGTGGACTAGGCATTTGAGAACCACTCTTCTAGCTATTCCTACTCATCCTTCAGCTGTCGTTCTCTGAGTGGAGACTTCGTGGTTCCCCAGACTGGATTTAGTCCCTTTGGTTACACATTTCAGTGGATCCCTGTACTTTGTCATGGTAATGCTTCTCACCACTGAAGCTAAATACTTGATATGTGTAATTATTTGTTTAATGTCTTTCTCCTTAACTAGGCTGTAGACTTCATAAATGGCAGAAATAGTACCTTCACTTCTTTATTCCAGCATAGGATAACTGGCACATGGTTAGGTGTTTGATAAATACCAGAATGAATGAATGCATTAATGAAGGCATAGTGTATCTAAAGTACTTAGTACAGTGTCTGACACTTAATAGTAATAACTATTATATTTATCAAAATCATGCAGTTGCCATTGATAAACTAGCTTAGGTGATTTTATGGTACTTAAATCTACTTGGTTTTCATTTTAAGGTGAAAATTGATTTGCAAGTAACCATGCCTCACAGCTACCCCTATGTAGCACTGCAGCTGTTTGGACGGTCATCTGAGCTCGACAGACAACAACAGCTTCTCCTCAACAAAAGTCTCACTTCTTACATAGGGACTTTTGATCCAGGTGAGCTCTGTGTGTGTGCAGCAATCCAGTGGTTACAGGACAACAGCGCCTCCTATTTCCTGAACAGAAAGCTCGTGTACGAACCATCAACACAGGCAAAGCCGGTCAAGAACACGTTCCTGCGAATGTGGATCTACAGCCACCATATATATCAGCAGGACCTGAGGAAAAAGATTTTGGATGTGGGGAAAAGGTTAGATGTGACTGGATTTTGCATGACCGGAAAGCCTGGTATAATCTGTGTGGAGGGCTTCAAAGAGCATTGTGAGGAATTCTGGCACACTATTAGGTATCCCAATTGGAAACACATTTCCTGTAAGCATGCTGAAAGTATTGAAACCGAAGGAAACGGGGAGGATCTGCGTCTGTTCCATTCTTTTGAAGAATTACTCCTAGAGGCCCATGGCGACTATGGATTAAGGAATGACTATCACATGAATCTGGGTCAGTTCTTAGAATTTCTAAAAAAACACAAAAGCGAGCATGTTTTCCAGATATTATTTGGTATTGAAAGCAAAAGTTCAGACTCCTAGGAAGCTATGAAAAGGCCTGTGCTTGTAATTTCACTAAAGTAGTATTTCTGTTAATAAAACCAAACTGAAAGGGCCGGCAGCTGTTTTGTGTCCTCTGTGAGAAACCTAGCTCCCGAATTTTACCTGGTACTGAAACATGGGCCTTTTAACTTTGTAACAGTGCAATCGTGATGTTACCCTATGTTCTTGTGTTAACTGAAAACTATTTAATTGTAAATTAATAAAACAGTCAATTCAACCAGTGACGCTTATTTGATGGAAGAGGAGTTTAAAGCCCATAGTTCATGTCAGTAGTCAAGTGGTAGCTCTGCTCACAAATAGTTAGAATAACATCTCTCCCTTTTATGATGCCAGCACGCAAATGGCACACCACACTTTCTTTCATTATTGGAGATGAATTCTAAATCAAGTTTGAAATGAGAACAAAGAGAGGGCACATTTACTACGTTTCTTACTTTATGTTAAACCCCCTATTTTGAATTTTTTCTTTTAGCAAAACTAGATCCTAACTATAATGGCAGGAGAATCACAGTAATGAAGTCTCAAGAGTAATGAAGATGACGTGTTCTCTGGCTGTTTACATATGATTTCTTGTCTACAAGGTCTTCCACAGGTGACGCAAACTGGCAGCCTTTGCCCGTGTGCCAGGGCAAGAGTTGAGAGGACCAGCGTGGATGGCTCTGGACCCTCACCTCACTGGGGAAAAAAATCAAGCTCTACAGTTTGGTGATAAGTCACTGCCATCTCTTCTGAAGATTCCAAGCTCCACAGGCTTCAACAGCCTTTTTCAAAATGAGTTTATTTTAATGATAACCCCTATTAAAGTAGCACTTGCCAAACCTTTTCATTACAAAGTATTTACCCCTCCCCAAGAATTTCTGGGAGTCTCACCTGTGTTAAGGGGTGTCCTGAGCTGCCTCTCTGTAGCATTCTCTGGTTTCCATGGTTTCTTTGCCTACTGCTGCCCTTTCTCAGGGAGCATTTCCTTCTGCTGGGTCCCAGGCACCCCACTGATGTCCTGGTCCCCTCAGGATGACAAAGCTGGGTGCTGAGACATCGTGACTTGGAGGTGACTGCCTTACTCCCATTTTGTGATACATTGTTAGATGCCAAACATGGCTGTGTGTGCTAGTGAGCTTACAGAATTTTTATGAAGCGTTACATTCTGGTTGTACTCTATGTCTAAGATGTAGACGTGTGTCCCAATAGGTACATGAAAAGATGCTCAACACTAATCATCAGGGAAATGCACATCAAAACCATAATGAGACATCACTTCACACCTATTAGAATGACTTATCAAAATTACAACAAATAATTCAGCAAGGATACGGAGAAAAGAGAACACTTGGGCACTCGGTGGGAATGTATATTGATGCAACCATTATGGAAAACAGTATAGAGGTTCCTAAAAAAAAATTAACAATAGAACTGCCATATGATCCAGCAATTCCACTTCTGAATACTTATCTGAAGAAATAATGAAAACACTAATTCATAAAATATATAGGCTCCATGTTCAATATTTACAACAGGTAAGATGCAGAAATAAACTAAATGTCCAACAACAGGTGAATGGATAAAGAAAGTGTGTGTGTGTGTGTGTGTGTGTGTGTGTGTGTACACACACACACACACACACACACACACACACACACACACACACACACATATAGCAATATTATTTACACAAGAATAAAATCTTGCTATTTGCGACAACATGGATGGACCCTTGGGGCATTATGCTAAGTGAAATGTGGAATCTAAAAAATAACAAGAAAACACAAGCTCATAGATACAGAGAACAGACTAGCAGTTGCCAGAGGTGGGGTGGGGAGGGGGAATAAACGAGGGGGTCAAAACATACAAATTTGCAGTTATAAAATAAGTCATTCAATGTATAGCATGTTGACTATAGTTAATACTGTACTGCATTTTTGAAAGTTGCTGAGAGTAAATCTCAAAAGTTCTCATCACAAGAAATAAAAATTTTCTAACTATGTATGGTGACAAATGTTAACTAGCTTATCGTGGTGATCATTTTACAATATATACAAATATCGACTCATTATGTTGTGCACCTAAAACTAACATGTAATTATACCTCAATCAAAAAAAGGTTTTTCATGGATGCTGTTAGGTCATCGTTAGGATTAGGATGGTCTGATTGCACACAACAAATCCTTTGTAACTCATATTCAGGGGGTCTGTCTGTGAGCTTCCTGTTCTATTCCATTGTTCTATTATGTTCTCAGGACTGAGAAACATGCAAATATCCGGATTTTGGAGCCTCAGTATGAATAAAATAAAGTATCTCATTCATACTTTTTATATTGATCACATGTTGAAATGAAAATACTGTTTCTTCCTTTTTATGAGGCAACTGAAAATTATACATGTGGCTCACTTTCCTTTTCTATAGGACAGTGTTGTTCTAGACTGTACTCTAGTGAAAAGAGAACAGATTACAAATAAAGATAACATGGATTTAGAGCCCACATCCTTCATTCATTGCTCTGTGGATTGGTAAGTTACTTGAAAAATCTATTTCATAAGGGAATTGTGAACTACATTAAATACTATCATGTATATAGAATACATGATACCTAGTAAGTAATCATCCAATGCTTATTTCATTATCTTTCTCTGAGGACAAGGAAGTAGCTCATTCAACACAGTATATGGCAAATATGACTACACATGTATTAAATGAAGCTCATACTGAAATTAGCTATTAGAATATTTTTATTCATAATATCCTGTCACATGACCACCAAGACTCAGCATTATCATTTTTAAATGTAACGATATTTTAAGAGAAAAAGACAATTATTTTATTCATTCACTTTTTCTATGCTTTAATAAATCTTTTGCATAGGTAAATACATTCAGTTAGAGCTACAAGACAATATGGAAACAGACAAGAAATAGGCATACTGGATCCTTTCAAAATAACTATATTGAGAAAATTCTTGATTAAGTATTACCTTCAAAAACACCCCGCCCCTTCTACTTACACTTAAAACAATTTATGTAACCTTCAACTTTCATAAAAATCATTGTATAGTAGTTTACCTTGAACGTCTTATACTCTTTAAAAACATTACTTCAAATACAGAAAATTCTCCAAATAATTCTACAAATAGCAAATGTTATTGTACCTGAGCTTAAGAACCTAAAATTGTTTCCATTAGTTCAATGATTAATTTCTAAAGTAAAACTGGAAATTATCATGAATTTCTGGGCTGTAACTACTAATGATATTTCAAATATTTTCATATCTGATGTAAAGATAACTTCTGATATTAGGGAAGTAGCTACAAAACTTTCTCCAAACTCAAAGGAATTATGTTTATTGTAACAACACAATGAGCTCTTAATTACCTGAGCGAATCAAGGGGACATTAGAGCAGGTCATTCAAGAGGGACCCAGCTTGTCTCAGAACCATGTTCTTGCTCCTGACTGGAGATCTTTGTCTTAGGAGGTCGACTCTGCAGGCAGCCCTTTCTCAAGGAGCTGACCTACTCTCCTCTCAGCTCTTCCCACTGTTCCGGCTGTGCTGGCCTGAAGGTACCGACCTCTGAACAGGAGCTACAGTCTGCAAAGGCCCGGCAACAGCAATGTGGAATTGAAGGACACCACACTTACAGAGAAGGAAGGATGCTGTTAAAAGTGATTCTGACTGAGGACCAAGGAGATAAGATGTACCAATGGGGAAAGAATATTAAAATCTAAGGCTGCACAAGGCATTATAAACAGCAATTATCTTTCTTAGAAATGTTAGAATTCAGTTGCACATGAAAAAAAACCCCAAATATAATCTAGGAGTGGAATAAAAATTCCAGAGAAGTTATTTTTCTCTAGGCAAAAAAGTGTTGTTTCTATTTTTAGCAAAAGTTCATCTATGCCTAAATTCATTTCTGTCTTTATTAAAAAAAAGGTAGATTTTTACAAAATGGTCAAGAAAAGAACTATGGATTTTAATTTTAATCATATCAATTTATTACTTATTTGGGGCTTCCCATTAGTTCCCTATATACAAAAATGATGAGGTTCTCAGTAGTAGGTATAATAGCTTTTAAAGAGAGCTTGTGCAAAATAAGAGAGAAACCCTAAACAATCAGAAAGTAAATGAAGCAAAACTGACTAGTGTGATGTTTACCCTAAAGTATATTAATATTCTTCTGTAAATTTTTAGATTGTTGAAGTAAAATTACCTTAAACTAGCTTATTATGAATCATTATAAAAGGTTCTAATCTTTAAAAATTATGAAAGACGTCAAGATCTCATTAATGGAGTTAGAAATGTCAGCTATGATGCTACTGGTCAAGTTTGGTCTGTATTTTCTGGGCCTCTTCAGGCCAAGAATAACAATCAGGTAGAATCTTGTCATAATCAGTGCTATACATCTGAGAACGGACAAATGCTTCTTTGTTTTGGGGTTCAGGATAAACTGTGGCTGTCTTATCTTGGTATGCATCTTTCACAATCTAGAAATAAGAAAAGAATATTTGTTATTTTAACGAATAGAGGTAATGGTAAGCACATGCCAGAAGTTTTATCTGTTCCAAAAAAATAATTTATACTTTATATTTTGTCTATTTTCAAAAAAATTAGGTTGCATTATAATGAAAGCACACATAAATAAATAAATATAAAATGAAAATTCAATTATAAATCATATACCAAGAGGCAAATATATCAGCAACTAAAGAAAGTATAAATAGCAGAAACTTATTCAAGGGTGATCATACCAGGATTTCTCAGCTAAGACGGTGGTATAAAAGTCTTCCAATGACTGCATTGATAATGAACTTGAACTAAATACCTTAATATCCTGCTAAATTTGAAGTCAGATTCCTTGTAGTTTCAACAATCCCTATTCTGACCACAGCCTCCTACAAAATCTCTTTATTAATCCCAGGGTCTCCTGGCCCTGCTCACCTAGTCAGCAGGACTCCATGGGCAGTTTCAATGCTTTTCCCCAGTTATCACAGAATCTCTTGTTTCTGTGTCTTTGTCTCACACTTGCCATTCTAATCCCCAGTCTAGGGAACCCTCAAGTGCTGGCTTTCTCCTTCATGGCTGTCTCCTGCGATATAATACTTTGTCTAACCTTACTTGGGCTTATGTGGCTGCACTTTGTGCTTTTATCTTCCTTTAAAAATAAACAAACAAACAAAAACCCTTCTTCTCATATTTCTCACAAGGCAATTTCAAACTTTCCCCACTCAAGTCTCCATTTGACTCTCATCACTCTACTGAGAAAATTCCAACTAATCAGGGAAAACTATCTCAATTTCCCTTTTCATCTAATCAAACTATCTCCTCTTTATCTTCAAACATCCTCTCTTCCTCTATTTGAGAAAAATGAATTCTCCCTCTTGTCAAAATTAATCACTCCATATGTGCTCTTTAATTTACTCCTTTCATCGAGGAGCTATTTGTATGATAGACTTATTTGGATTAAGTCTGATTTTGACAAGTATTAGAATGATTAAGTATCTCTTCTCAACATGAAATTGTGCATTTATGACAAATTATGGCTATATGGACTGTGCTGTATTATTGAGAAATGTTTATGAAAAAGGAATCAGTAAACAAAAGTATGTATACACCATACATTATTATAATGATGTTGGAAAAGAAAGCAAACAAATGAAAAAAGCTAGGAGCAAACACACCAAAATGATAATAATGCTTATGTTGGAAAAGTAGAATATTAAGTATTTTCCTTTTCTCTATTTTCTAAAGTGCCTATAATGTGGTATTACTTTTTTAACAGCTTTTTTGTGGTATAGTTCACTCACCATAAAATGCAGCCATTTTCAGTGTACAATTGAATTATTTTTCAAGTTTACATAGTTATGCAACTGTTATCACATCCAGTTTCAGAATATTTCCATCACCCCAAAAAGATCCCTTGTGCCCATTTGCAATCGGTATACTACTCTTATAATATAATGGATTGTTTCATTCCTGACATAGACTATGTGGAATTTCATTCCTCTTTCTGCTCCCAGGATACACTATATTAACGAGCCTCCCTCAGTGAAATCTTCACTCTCCCCTTCTTCTCAATCCCATACTCTCCACGAGAGTGGCTTAGATTTTGCTGCTTTCCTAATTCTCCTCAGGCTTCTTAACTTCTACTATTGAAATTGCTTTTGTAAATTTTCTGATGACTTCTTAAGTATAAATAAAAGTTGTCATCATTCAGGCTAGTTCTTCTCACCAGGATTTGATTCTTTTAATCACAACTTCTACCCCCATCCTGACACCATCTTCTTTAATTTCTGACATGCTGCTCAATTCTTAGTCTCTTCTTAATGGTGTGACTACTTTCCTTCTTAGCTGCCTTCTTTCTTCTGTATTCTAGACAGAAAATAAACTATATTCTATCCTTGGTTTCCTTTCCTTTCTAAACTTGCTCTCTTGTAATCCCTACTACTTTTAGAGCTTCATCTGTTACGACACCTAGATGATTCCCGCATCTTTATATCTAGCCTCTTTAAGTTTCAGTCATTTCCATCTATTTGTTAAAATTGAACATTTGAATGTACCATTGATACTTCAAACTTGCAGTTGACTTATATCATCTTACTCCCTGAAATTGAGTCTTAGTCCTGATTTCCCAATTCCTATGAGCTCAGGTTTTCGTTATTCTAGATGTAATATCTGAGTCTCTTTGTACTTTCCTGCTGTCCTTCACTTTCTTACTTTATCCTCTAATCAGATGCTAACTCCTTTTCATTTAAATATTCAAAATGAACAAAATGATAATATGCTGTCCAGTATATTAATTCAGACTAAAAACTAGTAGACACAAACTAGGAGAAAATATACACATACTCTTTCACTCTTTCATAAATAACTAACCAAGCTGATTATCTAACTTTTTTTTTTTGAAGAGTTACTTGATTTTTGAAGCATTTTTCCCCAATCAACAAGATAAGTAATGACATATAAATCCAAAATGGTGTTGTTTTGATAAACTTGTTAATAGCTTTGATTTTCTACCAGGAACGATCTTGCCTCCGAGGAAACACTTGGCAATGTCTGGAAACTTTTGGTTGTTATAACTGTACAAAAGCTACTGGCATCTAATAGAAAAAGGCCAGAGATGCTGCTAAACATCCTACAATGCCCAGGACAGCACCTACAACAAAGAGCTATCCAGCCAAACTGTGCATAGTGCTGAGGTTGATAAACTCTAATCTAATTACTTAATTACTATAAGGACTAAAACTATGTCACCCAAAATGTTGAGGCCTTAACCCCCCAGTACCTCAGAGTATGACTTTATTTGACGATAGGGTCTTTAAGAGGTATTTAAGTTAAAATGAGGCTCTTGAGTGAACCCGGACCTAAGTTGACCGGTGTCTTTATAAAAAAGGTAAATTTGGACACACAAGGAGACACCAGGGATGCACGTGCACAGAAAAAAGACCACACAAGGACACAGAGAGAAGGTATTCATCTATAAGTCAAGGAGAGAGGCCTCCAAAGGAACCATACCTGCTTATCCTTTAGTCTTAGATTTCTAACCTCCAGAACAGGGAAGAAATAAATTTCCTTTTTTAGTCACCCAGTCTGTGGTATTTTGTTATGTCAACTCGTGTAAACTAATACAACTATATTGCAAAAATGTTAATATAACTCTCATTGTAGTTATAGAAAATTCCCTTGCCTTTAGGTTCTTCTTGGCTGATTCCTAAGTAGCTCATCTGCTTTGAGTTGTTTGCCCTCAATGTTTTGCCTTCTTCCCAGTATTATCAGTTGTGATCTTTAAGATGCCAAACACCATGGAGACATGGATAAGGTGAGGGAGAGCGGGAGGCATTCAAGGCCTAAATGTAATTCTACCACATCTGCATTACTTTGGTGACTTTCATAAGTGTGATATGGAAAACACTAATTTAAAAAAGGTGAAGTGATGGAAATCTAGCTGAAAGAAAACCCTAATGAATTAGTTAAATTACAGGAGAGAAAAAGAATGACAGGGAAATTCATGATTCAGCCCAATTCTTCCATTCCTAAGGATGAAACACAGTTCCTAAGCTCTGCTAAAGCACTGTGCTTTCTGAAACAATAAGTTGATACAGGAAGTGGATTTTAATACCTAAAAACACACACTTAGCAATAGAAGGAAGAAAAAATAATAAAGTTGAACTAGAGTGGTTTTACCTTTTCTGCAATTTTCAGAGAAATATCTCTAATGGTGTTCAAAGGAGGAAAAAGTCGGCCCTCTTCCAAGTGTTTATCTGACACTTGATGAGCTATAACCTTAAAAATAAAAAAAAGAAAGTTTTTTTTTTCATACAACGTGGTGGTTATGAGAATAACTAGCATTTGAATGGTCACATATACAGTCATGAATAGAAGCCGATCACGTTAATGTGACCATCTAATTTCATTCTCCCCTTTATCAATGGAAAATCTGAGCCCAGAGAAGCTTGGTGATTTGTGGGATCATGCAGTTAGTGAAAAAGATGGGAACAGAATCTGGGTTTCTTCCTAATCCACTTCCTTTTCTATGGTACCGTGAAATGCCAGCAGCTTTCCCGTTTGATACACTAGAGGAGTCGGAGGAGGAGGATGACAAAAGTGATGGAAAAGGAGCCTGAAAGTAGAGGAAGAGGGCATCCAAGACGGATCACGCCATCACTCCCAGCTCACAGAATGTTGCACAGGAGGCTGAGAAAGCTATTTCAGAGTCACTCTGCAAACAGGACTTTACTTTTATGGAGATTTTGGATTATCTGAATCACCTAACTAGTCTCAGCATTTGCTGCTCCCAAACCATTCCTTATTTCTAAATCAAAGAGTGTATACTTAAAAATTTACTAAGAGGGTAGATCTTATGTTAAGTATTCCTACCACCACAACAAAAAATTATTAATAAAGAGGGAGGGAAACAATTTTTGGAGGTAGTACATTCATTTATGGCATAGGTTGTGGTGATGGTTCCACAGGTATATACTTATCAACAAACTCATCAAGTACATAAGTAAGAATGTACAGCTTTTTGTATGTCAATCATACGTCAATATTGTGGTTTAAAACAATGAAACAAATTGACATCATGTGCCGCTGATGTGATGCACTGAGTAGGGTACAATTAGGCACACAGTGCTCCAAACAAAACCATATAACTTGAATTAAATCCTGAGGAGACAATCAGATAAACCCAAATTGAGGAATGTTGTAAAAAACAACTGGCTTGTACTCTCAAAAAATGTCAACACCATAAAAGAAACAAAAAGATTGAAACATTCTTGCAGATTAAAGGATTGATCTACAGGCTATAAAAGTTTTTTAAATGGATGGATAATTGACAAAAAATGAATTTGGAGTATACATTAGATAGTATTACATCAATGTTAAAGTTTCTGAATTGCTAACGACACGCTGATCACATAAGAAAATGTCGTGAAATATTTAGGGGTAAAGAGGCATAATATCTGTAAGTTGCTCACAAATGGTTCAACAAGAAAATACTATGTATATAAATAAAATACCAATAAATTATTTATTGAACCTACTATGGCCTAAAGGTAGACTCAGCCACCTTGAAATTCCTTCAAGATCTAAGACTTTGATTAAAGCCTTTCAGTGAAGTAGGCCTAAATCGGTGTACATAGCTGGGTCTTTATTTAAAAGAAATATGGAGGCAGAGAGGAAGTACAAAACCTTCCTTATCTGAGATATTTTGAATAATCACTTATTTTTCAGTATCTTTAATATCTTTTAGGTTTTTTTAATCATGATATTATTTCTGAAATATTGTTTAGTTGCCACCAGCAAATATGAAAGATACAACACTACAAATTTAAAAAGCAGTTCCTGCCCTTGAGAGACGTATAATTTAGTGAGGTAACAACAAACAGGAATAAAAAGGGAATACCAAAACAGAAGACAGCCTTGTCTAAAGGTGAAATACGAGTGGCAAGAAATCCAGAGGAACAGTAGAGGGAGCATGAGTATGGAATTGAAGGAAAGCTAGGCATCAGACAAACAGGAAAGGGGTGGGCGCTCCAGAAAGAAGCCAGAGTCAGACCAAACGCAGGTATGAGCTGGACTCAGTGAGCCCAAATGTCCTGCTCTAGCGGAGCAGAGGATCTGCGTTGAAAAATAAGGATTGGAGCACTGTCAATGCAAATTAAGGAGTTTGGGTTAAGTCCTATAGGTGACTGTGGACCTCTGCACAAGGATATTTAGACAGAGGTTAGGGGTGGGGGAAGGCAAGTTTCTAACACTAGTTTTCTCTTTGGTGACATAAGACTAATAACAGTTCCTAATTTATAGGATTAAATTAAATAAATGCCAGTAAAGAATTTACCACACTGTCTGGGAAAGTAAGTGTACATTAAATCTTAGCTATTTCATTTTAAAAAGAACAAATAGGCAGCCAGCATGGCAGAGTAGAAGTAAAAATATCTTTGGGGCTCAGATCTACTTCTACAACATGTTAGTTTATTAGCTTTTCGATTTGGAGGCAAGTTAGGTAACCCATCAACTTCAAATTTTTTCAATGGTTTACATCAGATTATATGTATATTGCTCCTATCACCACTGGCACATTATTGGTATTCAAAATCATTGCATTTGCCCTAGAATACTACACAAATGCTATTTTAAAGATACAAGGAAAGTCAGTAGATGGATGAGTACCGGCTTATTCTCTCAAAACTATTTGCTGCTTTTGATATGCCATTGGTGTCTCTCTCTAACTGCATTGTGGTTGCTTTCAAATAATCTCTCAGTTTCCCTTTGACAATGTTATGGTAGCTGGATTTTCAGTTATCCAGTGACTTCAAGAATCAAAGTTCCCTCCAGATGCTGTTGTCTGCGGGGATCATCTCTGGGAGATATCAGGAAGGGGTGGGGCATAAAGCAGGGCTCAAGAGGAGGGCGGAAGGATAGGAAGCCAGGGTTTGCCTCCCAGATGTGGGGAAAAAGGGAGGAGTCTGCTCCCAGGTGCTGTGCAACATGCAGGGCCTGGAGGGTTGACCCAGGGGAGCACTGGAGCTCTCATCAGAGGTCCAGGAAATGGTCCAGAGGACCAGGAGAGCTAAAAGTCTGTGTGATGTTAAATGTCCAGGAATAGTCTTTGGGATTGGTGCCAACCCATGAGAGTCCTAATTCCATAAGATATCCAACTAGTATTTTTTTTCTTTTTTCTTTTGTTTTTTAGCTGAGCCATCCTGCTACCTGTTGGCAGCTCAGCGGCTGCTCAGCTCGGGCCGGGACTAGAACCGCTGTTGCTCAGAGCTCAAACTCTTGAGTGAGCTCTTAACCAACTGAGCCACTCGGCCGGCCCCCAACTAGTATTTTTATAATAATCCTAACAGTTATTAAATTTGGAGTTGCCAAAAACAAAAATTCACCTAGATCTCCTACATGTGACTTTTGTTGTTAACTTCAAAATATGATCTAGACAAAATGGACTTCCTTCTTTTTTGGGCCCTCCAGCAGTGAGTGTCTGTGGTATTGTATTTATTCTTCTTGCTAAGATATACGACTAGTTCTATTTAAGTCAGTTCAATAAGTATTTACTAACTTTCCGCTGTGCACCTTAGCATTATGCTAGGTGCGACTGGAATTTTGAAACAAGTATATGGAAGGCTCTGTTTTTAAAAAAGATGATTTACAATTTAATTAGAAGGCAACACTTAATTTCTTAAAACATGAAGCTCTCAAGAGCATAATACAACCAGGAATGAAATTAAATGTTGATGTGTTTGATGAAGACAGCCACGGCTAAGGCGAAAGATCAAGATGAGCCAGAGTAGTCACAAAAGGATTCAAGCACGAAGTGGGACTTAAGCAGTGACCTGAGGGATCAGCTTAGAGAAGTGGGCAATAGTTATCCAAGCAAAATAATGGATAGAGCACTCACATAGGTGTACATATGCATGGTGAGTTTGAAGGCTTTGGGATGGGCGAGCATGAAAAGAATGTCCATCTTCTAAGCTTTGGTGCTGGTTTAGAAATGGGGTGTCATTAATAGAAATGCAAAAATTGAGGGTGAGAGAAGATGAAAAGTACGGTTTTACACATCTTGTATTTAAGGAAACATCAGGGTATTTCTGTGGCAATATCCATCAGGTAACGAGATATGGTAAAGATGATAATAGAGATACACAGATTTGGCCACTTTTAGAATGAAGACAATGGAAACAAGAGAATAGATGAGATCTCTGAAAGCAAAAAACAAAAAAGGAAGACAAAAAAAAATGAATGTTAGAAAAAAGCTCATAATTGAAAGTGAATGAAAAGGAGATGATGAAAACAATGCGGTGGTATGAAAAACAGGAATATCGTACTGAAGCCTAAGAGAAATCCAGTGGAAAAGCCAAAATATTTAGCCAAAGACATCATTAGCTATGATAAGAATAACACTATTGAAATCAACATATTTTATTTATTCTTCAAAGTTTTTTGGTATTACTTTTCCTGGAGAATAAATGGAAAGAATTTTTTTTCATGCAATTCGTCGCTAGAGGGTGCTGGAGTTATTTGAAATAGAAAAACGCTGGCTACTGTGAGTAAAAGATCAGTGTTTTTATGCTATGTCTGCAATAAAAGACATATGTCTGCTATAAAACGGTTACATTTTCCTTAATGTAAGAACTTTGAAAAACTCTTTTAGTAATTAGACATCTACTTATGTTTAGCAAGATTTTTTGAGTTAAAGAAACTCTGAGACATCAGCTGTCATGCTTTTAATGCAGTGATGAAAACCAAAAGAGCAGAACATTATAGCTTCCAGACATCTGTTCACACACAGGAGGACGCCAAGTGCTAAACACTGGGATTATATATACTCCTTTAGATCACCTCAGTAACATCAGAATCTTTGCCAATATTCTTAGAGTTTCCTCACAATGGCAAGAATAGCATGTGTGCATGATAAAATGTTTAAATATTAATAAACTGTTATTTGGTTCAGTTCAGTTATAATGTCATAACAAATGGTTTAATTTTAAGAGAAGAAATTCACTCAAATTTCTCATTCATGAATTGCATCAATTTCAAAGATGATATCAACCAGATGAATATCCTGATTATTAAAAGCTCATGATTTTACAAATACTACATGGCCAATCACGTATCATCCCCCTGAGGCTTGGGGGGCAAGGGGAACTGGCGAGAACCTGAAGTTCCTGTTACCTCTTGTGCCGTAAGTAATAAAGTGCTTTGTCTCTAAGAGTTTGTGTCTCTAAGAGTTTGTGTCTTTTGTCAGCATTTACGAAACTGCGGCAGGCTAACTCGTTAGCCTGCACATAGAGTAAAAATTCAAATCTTCCACAGGTCAGAACACTTGCTGAGCAGAGCCTCCTTAGTGGGCCTGCTCTGAGGTGTTCTGAGAATCTTTCCTGGAGGCCCACGCTAGAACCCACATCTGTCCTTTTAATAACCTGGTAAACACCAAATTCTCTGTTTTAGTTTCCTTTCTGCTTAAAATACTAGAGTTGTTTCTGCTTTCTACACTGAACCCAAATGATAAACAATAAACACTTCAATATACTAAATCAGGCTTTCATTTTAAATCTTCAAGATGCCATTATTTAGAGAAGTTCTTAATGGAGAAATATTTACCACTTAATCTATGAACTGGAAACAAAATTTTTAATTGTCTCATTACTGTGACAGAATTTGGAAGTGTGAAGATAAAAAAGGGTTCCTTTTAAGAAATCAGAATGCAAAATTCTTTGCTGGCTATTGAAGAACAATCTTTTACTAGCGACTCAATCTGGACCTGCTACCCACCTCTTATTCTCTACTGGGAAATATTTTCTCTTCTTCAGCCACACTTTCTCGGGAGTGGGCTGAGATGCTAGATAAATAAAACATTTGACAACCTACACTGAGCTATTTTGGTATTTATAGCCCTGGAGAACTTATTTTACAATACCTCAGCAGTCGTGAGGAAAATCTTATCTGTGATGTGCCTCAGTCCACACGCCACCACACCAAGAGCAACTCCGGGAAACACATAGGAATTGTTGCCTTGGCCAGGATATAGGGTCCGTCCATCGGGAAGAGTGACTGGATCAAAAGGACTGCCACTGGCAAAAACTGCACGCCCCTGCAACACAGACACAATTTTAAAAAGAAGCAGGATATCTTAAAACAAATGTATTGTAAAAGAACTATCCCATAGAGTATTTAGGGAGAATTCTAAGTTTTCATTAACTCCCTACACAGTCTGGGCAAGTTTTTGTGATGTTGGCAATAAGTTCTGGAGTGGGTGATAATTACTGTTCTCTATCTCACTCTCTACTCCTAGGAGAAGTGTGCAAAGCATAGGATACCACAAGACCACCTCTCTATTCTCTGCAGCGGCCCAACCTATAGGCCTATCAACCATTTCCATACGGGCCTCCAATTATAGACTCCTGAAAATAAAAATGATAGATTAATATTAGAATATTGGAAAGAATGACATTTTAGGTTAGAGTTTAGGGATCAACACATTGCAGCATAATCACTGGGACCAATTTTATATAATACATTTCTATATTGCAAAGTATTATATGGAAAATCATATAGGAAACAAACTCATTAGGACAAGTGGGATTAGCAAATAAGATTAAATTTTCAAAAACTGTATTTTTTTCCTTGTCTTAATATTTTGTCACAATGTTTTTGAGGAACCTCACATATTACATGCCTTAAGGTGGCATTAACTAGGGGCTTTTAGATGCTTCATTCCATACTGCTGATCAAAAGGGAAGCATCTGTCTGACCTGTGAGGGCGCGGGGGGAAACAGAGTGGAGAGCATGGAGGGCTTCTAAAATAGAAACAGAAAACCCTCACCAAATACAGCATCAGTCTAAGAAATGCATTTGAAAAGTCTAAGGCACCAAATCCCCAAAGAATAGTTTAAATGATGATAGTCTGGCTTATAACCTCCATTCCTCTTACATCTGGAGTCTAAATCCATTATAATAGTAATAATATTAACTTATTTATTTCTAATAAATATCATAATATACCTTTTGTATAAAGGTAATGTGTATAGTATGATTCAAAATATTCAAGATATTAAAAGATGAAAATAGGTGAGAAAGAAAATTAAAGTTCTCATCTAGGTGTCTATAAGGCACTGGTATGTTTTACAGAAAATTAAGTTTTATTTTTATACAAATCTGATACCTTCACATAAAATGTTTTAGTACAAGCAACTTTCTACTGTAACTAAATTATTATATTATTTATATATATATATATATA